AATCATCAGGGATCCTGGTTTTCTCTGATTAAAAAAAATCCTCTGGTTTTCTCTGATTCAAAAAAAAAATCCCCAATTTTTGGTTTAAAAAAAATGGAACCCCAAATCTACTTTTCCATGCTTAAAACAAAAAGCCACTTATAGATACATACATCTAAATATATCTCTATGTATCTATATATCTGTATCTATATATATATCTATGTATATCTATGTATCTCTATATAGGTATCTATATATCTATAGATATATATCTATCTATCATATATATCTATAGATATAGATATATATAGTGGTATGCAACAATTTTTTCTTTCATTGCAAGCTTTCGGGCACAGACAAAGCTTGTGATTAAAGAATTGTTTTGGGTTTTTTTGCAAAAATTTTGTAGGTCTAATAAAAGAGATTGTCTCTACTATGAGTTCTGATTGCCTTTTCCTTTAGACCAATACGGCTACAACCTGGATATTTGACTATATAGTGGTGTTTCATTTTAGTCACTGGAAAATGTGGATTTTGGGTTTCTTTTTTTAAATCAAAAATTGGGGATTTTTTTTTTTTTTTGCTAAGAGAAAGCCAGGATTCCTGGGAATCATTGACCCAAAGTCTTTCATTACTAATGGATCACATTTATTCATAATCGCATCAATAGCAACTAATTATGCTCATTAATGGAATGCATCATGACATTGCCTAGCAGCACCCAGGTGGGGCCAGGGTGCCATGGGGTGAAGGCAATAGGGATTCATGGTGGGGTGGTCCTTGAGGTACCTCAAGACAGTTGCACTAAAAGCAACGGTCCTGTATTCTTGAAGTACCTCGATGGCCATCCTATGTCTTCCACAAGTCCTGATCACGTTCATCCTGGCTCCACGTGGGTGCTGCTAGGCAATGTCAAGATGGAATCAATCAGTTAGCATAATTAGTTGGTATTGATGAACGTTGCGTGTCTCCCAAGGCTGAGGAGTAGGAGCAAGCTCCTGCAGGCGGTTGCAGCGGTGTCAGTGGTGGAGGGTGGCAGGGGTGAGGAGGAGGGAGGGCTGAGTGTTGAAAAATAGAGGACATAAAGGCATCTGGTTTCATATCAATAGAGGACAGAGGACCAGAACACCAGACTTTCCTCTAAAACCGGACAAATGGCCACCCTCAGTAGAAGTGATGTCTTTTATTAGACCAACTAGATTTTTGCAAAAAAAATAAAAATAAAAATGGGGTGAAGGACACAAGAACCAACAGATGGTCCCTGCCCTCCAGGTTCCTCCTGCTACAATTTCAGAGCCATTGTCAGGCTTCTCTTTATGCCACTGCACAAGTGTAAAGGAAGTCTCAGTCCTGGCCCCACAGAGCAGGCAAGCCATGGGATGTACTGGATCCTCTATGTGCATGGAGATGTGTCTCCGGTTCTGCTCACAAATGAAAATAAAAGAAACTGGGTTTCACAAAGTCAGCACGTTGCACTGATCGCATCCATGACAAATCACAAGCAGTTAAGAGCGTGTCCATGCAACAGACAAGGTTCTTTGGGTTCATTCCTTCCAATCGACTATTCATTCCACCCAGGAAGAGCATGCACCGACTGCAGATGCTTCCTCAGCCTGATGAAGGGTATTTGTACCTGAAAGCTTGCTAAAAACAACTTTTCAAACTATTTGAGTTGCTCTAATAAAAGATACCACATTTACCCAAGTAATCTTGTCTGCCCATGTCCTTAGACCAACACAGCTACAGCCTACACATCCGTTCTTCGGGTATTTTATTACAGGTATTAACATGAAAGGTAGGCAAGGCATGTCACACTTTTTACTGCCTGTACTTGTGGTCTAGGATTTAGATACGACATGAAAAGTGAGGGAGGAAACAGCTGATACCAAAGCAGGTTAAATATAAATATTTTGATGACTCTGTGCATGGAAGATACACAAACAGAAACTATACACTTCTTATAGCTCACCTTTTACAGCCCTTTTGGGAAAAATGCATTTGGGAGGGACTTTAGGTCAAAATTCTTCCACAGTGGGTGTGTCTACACATGCAAATGCTGCAGGGTGCGTTTACTCTACAGTAAATTACTTTAGAGTAAACCCAGCCCGGGCAGGCATCTACACATGCAGGGATGAGGGAACAGATCTTTTGCTCCTGGCAGCAATCTGCTCCATCCCGCTCTGGCCCTGCACCGGCCCCCTGCAGCTGCCAGGAGGAGCCCTGGGCTTGCCCTGAGTGCTGGCCCAGAGGCTGGCAGGGAGCATAGGGCCAGGAGACTGCTGGGGGGAGGTTGCCTGCTGCCCGTGTGGGCTCTGCCACTGGAGCCGAGGAGGGGACAATGTCCCCCTGCCTCAGTAGCAGGGAGCTTCTGGCCCCAGGTCCCTGATCAGGGGCAGGGGACTTGGAAAGAGCTGCAGGGAAGGGGCAAGTCCCAGCCCCCTGCCCTGATCTGCCAATGGGGCAGCTAGCACTGAGCCCATGGCTAGGTGGGGAATCTGTGTCCCTTGCAGCTCTTTTCACGCCCTGTGCCTTGATAGCCTAAAAGGGGCATGGGATTGGGACCTTTCTCTGACCAAGACAGATCCCAGCTGGGAAGCCTTCAGGGAAGCGATCATGGAGCTGTGCCCTGGTCTGCAATTATGGAGCTGCAGCTGGGAACAATCTCGCCAGCCCCCATTCCACAGTCACAACTGGGGGGCAGAGGCTGGAAGCTCCCTGTTGCTGGGGCACAGGGACATTGTCCCCACCCGGAACTTTCATGCCCTGACAGCAGGGAGCTCCCAGGGACAGGAAGCAATCTCCCACTCCCTGCTACCTGGCTGACTGGCAGCAAGTTTGCTCCCTGTTGGCCATCTACACGTGCCTATGGTGCAGTACGTAATTGAGTAAATTTGCTACTTGTGTTTATAGGTAGCAAATTTATTCATGATTTGAGCAAATTACTGCACCATAAGCATCTACATGTATAGATGGTGATGCTTACGGGGCAACACTTTGCTTTAATCTCAAGTAAATCATCCCATGTAGATGTGCCCAATGACTACTGATTCTTGGTGCCTACCTTGAAGCTGATTTTTGGAAGGTGGCTACTTAGCATTCTGCAAAATCTGACTCCTGTAACATGCTGGAAATTCAATCAGTGAGTCACCCATGTGACTAGCTGCTGACAAAAAAATCTTGCCCTTGGTGGCTTGGCAATTCCTTGACAGGCTCAGGGGTCAGCATAAAAGAAAGGGGCAGGAAAGTTGTGCCATAGGGGACTAATGGGGTATGAAGGTTGTGGTGGGGGGAGGTCACAGACAGTGTGAAGCATATTGGAAAAATGAGACACTAGTTAGGGGCATTATAGATGCATCCATTAAGGAGTGTGACCTAATGGGGAAATGAATATCCTGTTAGCATTGCTATGCCAGCGGGGATGCCAGTATTCGAGGAGAGTCCCCAAATGGCGGATTTGCTTAGGATTACAGTTTTTGAAGGAGAGGCAAAAACTGAGCTGTATACAGTGGCAAAATTTGCCAGCGGGTACAAAAATGCTCCGAGAATTGTTTTTACTAAAACATCAGCTTACAGGGAAAGACCTGTGGGGGCACGGTCATCTGTTCTCATTATAATCAGAGCACATCCTCAAGGGTATGACCATGGGACTCAGCTCCATTTCATATACCAAATTTTGCATAAGGGAAAAATGAAGCAAAGCAAGGGCGAGCGTGCTGCAAAGTAAAAAAGAAAAATTGCTCTTTTTCCACTGCTGGAAAACACAAGCCCATGCCTTTACAACCAATGCTTCACCGGCGTGTTTGTGAACAGTGCCAAGACACGGATGTGATGGGATAATACTAGCCCAGCCTCCCCTTATCCCAAGTATGCTAGTCAGGAGTGACGGACGGGTTGAGCCTGATGACTGCAGCAGCAGCAGGGCTTCCTGCAGAAAAGTGTGCATATCTCACTGCTGTCCTTGGCCCACAATGCTTTGCAGCATTAATGGCCAACCTATTCCCCAGGGAGGGGGGGCATTGCTGCCGGTGCTGCTCTGCTCTCCATTCAGTACTCTGGTGATGACAGCTCAGCAAGGATCAGCAATAGTAAGATGAATAATGCAGCTGGCCCTTAAGCCAATGATGGGGGAGGGGGAAACGGTTGGCAGGACTATTTGGTAGATGATTGTGTTTCTCTTACTGCTAAAAACGGATTAAATCACACTGGGGGGAGGGAAGGGGGGGTGCATGGTGTCTGTTTACTGCATCCACAGGATGTGGTGATCATTCTCCCAGAAATGCTCTGTCTTGTACGTACACAAACCAGGAGTCCTTTGTTTAAGATTACATAAGATGATGCAAAAATAAAAGGTGCAAATACTCTTTAAAGGGAGTAATAATGGGACCAGGCATTCAAGATTACTCCTTATTACTGCACAGAGGGACACAGAAAAAGGAGAACCGAACCCATGAACCCCACAAAGGAATGGTAATGTAAGGAAATTATTATTTTCTCTTTCTTTAGTTAGGGCAGTCTTAAATTAATGTAGATTAGTAGGTAACTGTTTTGTGTGTTAAGTGCCCTAGCCAGGTAATCATTTGCTTCTTTTACCCTTTTTTTTTTTTTTTTTGGCCCCAACAACACAGATGATCAGACAGTTTATGTGCAGGTCACAAAGTTATTCAAGTGATTGCTTTAATACTGAAGGGACTGGGACTCACTTTTATTAATCTATAAGCCATTAAAAATTAAAGAGCATTTTCCAACAAACAAAACAAGGAAGAATAACAAAAAAACCCATCAAAAGAGAAAAAAAAAGACTTAAAAGAGAAATGAATCCGAGGTACTGATAGACAAGTGCATCTGACTGCAGTTCATCTGAAAATAGACTTGCAGGATACAATTTGCTTTCTGTTGTTTTGAAGTGACGTCTTAAAGTGCTGCCTCTTAAAATTAGGTATGCTGTTTCTTGTGTTCTGTACTAACACACTTTCCCTAAATCCTAGCTAAGTTGCTGTTTTGAATGATAATATGTTGGTTTATGCCTGCAGAGAGAGTTCATTTGATTTATTTTGGGTGAGGCAATATCCCCCAATTCATAATTTCAAATTGTCTAAATTCATAGTGCATAATGCATATCATTACTTTTGAATGCATGTGAGGTTTCTGCTACTGATAAATGCACCAACCCATGATATATAAAACTGTGGCTTTTGCTTTTTATGCTGCCATTGTGACACAGCTACTATAAATATCATAACAAACTGTACAGTCCCTGCCAAGTTCTGCTTACAACCCTCCTAAAATAATCCTTTAAGGGTCAGTGGGACTATGCACATGTGAAAGGTCAGCAGGATTTGCCTAGCTATACTGTTATCGTTGTATGTTTTTATTTCCGTTGTGCCTAGTCCCAGACAGGACCCACTGTGTTAGGCTCTGTACAAAGGAATATAATACTGATAATCACTAATATTTGCAGATTGCTTTGAGAGCCTCTGATTTTAGTACATTACTCAAAGTGCAAAAGTATTACTAATGTATGATCTATTTTTGTGCTAAACACTTAAGCACTGTGTAAATTAGAAGTAACCACTAAATAGTTGATGCAATATGCCCTTTGAGTCTTCAGTGTTCTTAGATTAAAGCATAATTACAACAAACACAAGCTGACCTGCCTTGCAAACTTGTACTTCATTGATGCTGTTACTATCAAGTATATCGTTATTTGAAAGAAATATCCTGTTTAACCCTTGCTAGTTCCAACGGTGGAAAGGGCCATGCAAGTACCAAAGGACTAAAGAAACAAATCCCCCATGTGAAACCTTTTCCCAGCAGACTAGGAAAGACTGTTTCAAATGGCACCGAAAAGGTAAATCACTCAAATTCTTTGTGCATGTACAAAGTAGGCTAAATTTTTTTATTTAATTTTTTTCTTTACTGCAATGATAGGTTCACATATTTGCTTATGATTTCTAGGGTTCCCATCATACCCAGGGTGATGATCAACAAAATTTTCTTTGCAAGGAAAGAAATAGGCTAGATGAGGATTATCAGAAAAACAGGTGAAGTTTCTCATACTGTCTTCAACTCATTTCCATAGATTTTTTTTAATGCCTTTGGCATCAAAGGGGCCATGAGTTCATCTTTCACATTCATACTCACGTATTAGACATGCAAATTTAACTTACCAAAATGGAAGCTTATTATCCATCTCAAAAGGCTTCCACTAAAAAACAGAGCCAGGAGGAAGAAATAAGGAAAAGCATAAGGTAATTGATGGTACAGTCCCTGAAGAATCAAAATAGGACATTTTTGTGGCAAGAGTTGGGTTTTAAGAGTCGTTGCAAGGGAGAGGTGGAGGGTACTTGGCATCTGAAACAAACCCATTTCATTGTGGAGCTGTGTAAAGACTTGACAATGAAGACTCAGTGAGAAAACAGAGAAGGATTGGGTAGATGCTTTTTGATATATGAAAACCTTGCAGCTGAACAGAATGAGGAGCTCAGGCCTGCAGCATAAACAATATGAAGACCTAACATGTTTTTCAGAGCTTGTTACTACTTCATCTGGAAAGTGAGACAGAGGGTTTTTTATGTAGACTCCCTGGAAAAGAAAATCTGTTTTGCATATTGGTCATATGCTCAGGGTTACACTGAGTCTGTTTTTATTGCAGGGTCTTGACCCTGGCCACTGCAGCTTCTCATCCATAGTCAGAGTGGTGTTTGTAGCCTCCTTTGGGCTCTTGACTGTTTAAATCTGTTGTTGACCAAATATTCCACCAGTTAATTTTAGGTTAGCCTGGAGAATAGACAGCTGGTTGTGTTTAAAAGGGCAGCACTTCCCAACAGGGACCACATGGCGCTATTTCCATTTTCAAGACTGGTATCTTCTGACTCATGACAACTGGAGGCAAATACTTGCTCTGTAATGATGACCGATGAACATGTGCACTCATTTAGAACTAATGTTTTTGTTTTTAATAGTCAGCATTTAACGGCCGAGGGAGTTAGATTTTCAGCTGATATAATTCAATGAAGTCAGAGACTTAACATTGATATATGCCAGTTGTTGGCCCAGAAAACCTAGCTGTTTCATTTCTCATATCTCAAATATGAGAAATGAAATATCTCGTATCTCAAATGTCCTTTCTTGTAAGGGCCAGTCACTACCTTCAAGCCAAACTGAAGTTCATACACTCTGCACTTCACATAAAATACATATTATAACCAGGCATCCTGGTTTTCTCTGATTTAAAAAAGTCACCAGTTTTTGGTGCAAAAAAAGTAACCCCAAATCCACATTTTTCAGAGATTAAAATGACGGGAAAATGTGGATTTGGGGTTACTTGTTTTTAAACCAAAAATTGGGAATTTTTTTCGATCAGAGAAAACCAGGATCCCTGATTATAACTAGTGCATTAAGGGCCCCACCCAGGACACAGGGTTGTAGGCAATCTGGGCATCTGTGCATGTGCCTGATGCCTGCTTTGACTCGTTCTAATTAGAACAATTAATTGAGTCTGCTAGAACATGCTAATTAGCACGCTCCAGGAGCCCCAGCATCACCTGTATTCAGTGTCCCCATGTTTCAAAATGGCAGTCGGGACACTTTAATTAAAATTTGTCGAATGAGCTTTAGTTAAAGCACCCCTGCCACCGTTTTGAAGTGTGGGACGATGAATACACAAGATGCTTCGGGCATGCTAATTAAAGCAGCCCCCTGCCCCAGACCAGGTGTAAAGACATGCTCAGATTTCGGCCAGCTTATATTTCTCTCTCATGTAAAGGTTTTCATGTATGGACACATATATATATTGCTCTTATCTTTCATTTTCTGTCTTCTACTCATGTAAGCCTCTTCTCAGAGGCAGCTCCTATAAACTCTGGGAGAATCAAGCCCTGGTGAAGCAGGGAACCCTAAGGAGACTCTTTTTAAAGTAAATTCTCTTTTTCTTTCTGATATAGAGCGATGGGTGCTGGTGCATTGCTGTACAGAGTACAGGGGCTGAGGAAGAACCTCCCAGAAAAAAAGGAGAAGGAGTCTGTGCTTCAGAGCACCCCTTCCAGCTGGAAGTGTAGTTCACAGTGTGGTGGCAACAGGGCAGAAGATGCACTGATGCAAAGTTTTTATAGCAATAAAAGAAGAGAGTGCAAAAGCAATCTTGAAGAGTGCATTGCTGAAGCTCTTCCCTGCACTTCTAAATATCCAGGGGCTTCTGTGAATGAGATGTTTCTTGATTTTGAAGCAGTGCAAATCATTAAAGAGGATGCCGATGAGGACAGTGCCAGTGACCTTTCTGACTCGGAAAGAATTCCCATTCCCCCATCTCCGTGCACGCCACCAGCACTCAACCTCCGAGCTGAAGAAATTGACCCTGTCTGCTTGGAACACCACTCTGACGCAGAGTTTAAAGAATCCGAGTATTATTACCCAGATTTCCTCCCACCCCCTTTCAACTCCTGGGACCTGAAGCAGTTGGCAATGTTTGTGAACACAGAGGGGAAATCCGAATCTCCACCCTGCCCAGCAGGATTCCTGGAGAAATACATCGATCGGCTTTTGCAGCTGGAGTGGCTGCAGATGCAAACCGTGCAGAACGAGAAAGGAAAGGCAGCCAAAGCTAGGCCTCACACTGCTCCTGCTATCGCTCGGGCCCTAAAAAGCCCTGCTAAAGGCAAAGCCGTGCATAGCCCTTTGCCTAACAAGCAGCTAACTCCCCAAGAAAATGTTGCAAAGCTCCACACCACTCATTCAGGTCCCAGGAGAGATTTACACTGTGAAGAAAACAGCCAGTTAGACGCATATCCGAATCACTTGAAAGTTGCTGAGGTGCTGGGTGGCTCATTGCCTTCTCAGAGGCCAACCTGTGAAATGAGGAGCGAGGCAAAAAAGAGGCCAACCACCAAGCAACAACTTTTTAATATGAAGCCTTGTGAGAGCAGCTCTAAAATTCAGGGCACTGGTAACATCAGACCCCCCAAGCAACCCGCCGCCTTCCCTAGTTCAGCTGCCCCTACCAACGGCCTAAAAACATACTCGTATACAAATCCGAAGAAGAATGGTCACGCGAATAATTACGTTCCTTCCAAAAAAACAACAGGGGAAAGAAAGCTAAAAACAAATGGCACAAAGCAAGCATCATATATATTTAAATAATGATGAACAGATGATTAGTGAATTAGCACTGCTGTGTTGACAGCTGGACAGTCGTGTTCTCCTCTAGAGGGGAATGGTTTTTTTGCATAGAAAAATATTGAGGAAACTTGTTCTTACTCCACGCTTGTGAAGTCAATATTGCACATTAAATGCATTTGATTTTAAACCAGCAGGGCCAACAGGGACTTTTCTTCCCTGAAGGCAAGTGTCTTCCATTGGTTCCTTCTTCAAAGGATTCACAGTTGCTAACTTAGGATGACTCTAGCTAAGGAAAAAGTTTAGAAAAAAATGTCTGGTTTCTCCTCACAGTTGCACTAGTGTAACTTCATCAACTGCTGCGGAGTTGCTCCCACTTACGTGGATGTGTGCAAGAAGAGAATCGGACCCGTATTTTCTCCCTTGAGCAGATGCATAATGCATACACTGTATTATGAGACAGGTTTGCTTTTCTTTGTGACGCAAAACGGCTTTGTTACTTTTTATATAATAGAGCAGACTATACAAGATCATTCTCTCTCTGATTCTTGAGGGAAATTGGACCCTTGTCAGGGGAACAGAGGGTAGAAGAGCAGGGAATTAGGCAGAGAAAGTTTTGAAGTCATCTTCTGTGCCAGGAAGAATTCCACTGGTGAAAGTCAGACAGTTTCTATAGGACCAATATTCTCTCTCGTGGTGACCAGCCAAGATATGAACTTACTATTTTTATATGCTATGCTTGCCTTCATTGTATTTGTGGATCGTTTTCCTTGAAGTTTTTTTTTTTTTTGCAGGTGTTGATGGCTTATGGTATTCAGAAGAGGTGACCTAATTTTCCCACTCTCTTTGGACTGGAGTCCCAATCCTGCATGATCCAATACATTCTCAGCTCCTTGTGATGGAAACTGGAATTGAAGTTACTGGGTGGCCCCAGATTGGCCCAACAGCAGTTTTAGGAAAAGAAAAAACAGATTTGCTTTCTTTTTCAGTAATGGATATACTTGTCCAGTAATGGATTTGTTGTGACATGACAACCAGGCCTGAATGCAATCCTTGTCTCTTGCAAGTGACATAACTGCATTCAAGCAACATCTGCAAATAAAATTGTCCTTAAATTTGGGAAGGAAAATCGATCTCAGTAAGATGTTACTATTTCCCAGGGCTGGGAATGAATTAAATTGCCAGTAATCTAAGCTCTAAAACTGGCTATACACATGCTCCTTAGTGTTCTAATTAGAACACATCAGAGGAGACCCAATCAAATCTGCTGCACTTTCTAATGAGAACACTTCAATGTTGCTGCAGGATCAGGTGTATTTAGCCCCCACGTTTTAAAATGGCTGTGGGGTGCTTTATTCGATGAGGTTTAGATAAAGCATCCCACGGCCATCTTTAAATGTGGGAGCTTATTACACATGATGCTGCAGCGACATTGAAGTGTTCTCATTAGAAAGTGCAGCAGATTTGATTGGGCTCTCCGGGAACCACTCTAAAATGCCTCCCCCCTTGCCCCTAGGCATGTGTATAGACACTGTTTGGTTCCGACTTGGACACACTTCCATCAGAGCTTAAAAATGAAGTGTGTGTGTCATGAACTGGTAGCCCTGGAGAATGAAGCTGACTCCATAGAGTTTCCTGAGCATGGTGGTTCAGTTCCTACCTCACTCTTCAGTGTGGCCAGTGAGATTATTTTCCTTGTGGTTCCTGATGGCATTTTTTTCCCTAAATAAAATTTTGCTGGGGTTTTTTTTTTTTGGCTAAAACAAATTGGTCAGTGTCCAGATGAACCAGTACATTTCGTTTTGTGTAACATTTCTCTGGTTGGACTGAGATGCTTGGTTTGTCATTTCTCCTTCCATATCCAAAACAGCCCAGTTAAATGGGTGAGGAAAACTTAAGGCTCTCAAAAATGGCAGCTAGAATGACCTCTCAGCCTTACTGTTTAAACCTCCACCCCATAATTTATACCGTAGCCCTTTCTTCATGCTACTGGGACACATTCTGAGAAGCCTGACTTCTATGTTACTTTTTGATTACAATTTCGTCTTTCTTTCTGTAGAAATTCTTTCTAGATGACAACTTCTATAACCTTCTGATCAGTGCCAAATTGCACGTGAAGAATTGAATGAAAAGGAAGACAAAACGAAGGGTCCCATGATTAGATACTTCATAGTCTTTTTTTCAAGAGTGTTGTGCTCCCATTCAAAAAATAGACCTTTGGAGATAGATTTACATGGTGTGTTCTGCTCAAGCACTGATATACTTTGGTATAAAAGCAGTGCATTTTTATTTGCTCATATGCATTTCTACCTACATTCCACAGCACTCTCTGGTTGATCTAGTTTGGGTTCCAGTATTAAGGGCTGATCAAATTACTCCATGTGGGTAGAGTTCCCGTAGCTTCCTGCAGAAAGTAGCTTGTTAGCCAAGACTGGAGAGTGCCTCTTGACCTCTTTGTCTCTGGCAAAGTGGAATTCTGTGAGAAGCAGGAAGATAGGAGAGATCGGCATCATGAGGATGAAAAAACTGATGTAACTCCAGTCATCTGGATGCAGACTGACAGCAGCTAAACTGGCCCACATTTTGCAAACAAGGAAAATGAATTCTGAAGAATTTTGTCTGTGCTTTAAAGGAAATATTTACTTAGCAGTTATTAAATCTCTTCTCAGTTTCCTGCCCCTGTGAATCATGTCACAGCAGTGAGACGAAGTCCGAGACATTTCAGGTGCTTTCTGCCTATTGGGGTTTAAATGGAGTAGTGGTGAGTACAAAAAAAGAAAGTTATGTGTATATTTGTTAAACTAGCTGTGCAACTCTGAGTTGCTTCTCCTCTGTCATTGTACACCACCTAATTGCCAGTGGCAAAACCTTTTCATGTCATTTATATGTTCTTTGTCATCAGTAATAAAACACTGCACAGTCAAACTGAAAAGTAAATATTCTCAGGAAGGCTTTTATTCTTTTTTCAGTTAAGTCTAGATCATATGCCAATCTGCGTGATAGAAGTATTGAGAAAACACATTTTAATATATACAATTTCTATTTAAATAGCCAATTCAAGATGTAATTACAATGATGTTATAAACCGGCTGTTGTTGCATGTTAAGGTGAAGTTCAGTCCACTGTGCTCAAAGATCAGATGATCTAGATTTATTGGAAGGCATCTGGGATCTCTGGGAGAAGAAATTCAACTACCCAGACTACCAATAATTAGCAGCACATCCCTGGTGGCTGCTATTTCATGTTTTTGCAGATCAGGCCTACAGTCTAGCTTTTTAGCTGAAAGGGCCTTGAGTGAATCTTATCCTGAGAACTTAGTCCTGCAGACCTTCCTCACTTGAGTATTCCTTACTCCTAGGAGTAACCCCTTGGAAATCAGAGGATTGTTCTTGTTGGTATTGATTGCTTGCATGAGCAAGGTATGCAGGATCAGGTCCATAAGCATATTGCATAATTTAAAATTAAATTAGAAAGGGTAATATAATTCAATTGTGTTTTTAGTCTTGAATATCACTTGACATGAGATTTTTCTTTGAAAAGTAACCATATAAACTGCCCCTTGTTCATAATACACATATATCAAGAATGCAAACATACACATTTTTGCATGATCTGATGACATGTCTCTAAAGTAAATTTCCTATTAAAGTGTCCTTAGGCTTCAGCATTGAGAAAAAAAACACGGCATTTTAACATGTCTCAGAAATCTTTCAGGCTACTTTTAGATAGAACTGGGCAGTTTTCCTTTAGAAGGTGTTCTTCAAAAACCTAAGGGCTAGAAAGGTTTGTCTTTAATTGAAGCTTGTAGTCTGCAGAACCTGAATGTGTTGTGGAAGCCTAATAAAAATATCGATCAAGCAAAGCTGTTGATGCTACTGGTGTAAATCCTAATGTTAGCTGGACACTTGCCCTCTAATTTTGGCTACACAGACCATTCTGGTTTCCTGCTACTTCTGTCTCAGTCTCCTCTTTCCACTTGTGGAAACAGAACTGTGATGTTAGTACCAGCCAACAGTTCTTACAATTTTTCCTTTTTATTCTTAATGCCTATAGGTTTTGGACTTTGTCCTGCAGAGTTTACTTGAAGTTAGAATAAAATCCACTTTTGTCAGCCCGGTCTACCTCCACTGTGGCTTGTACACGTGCTGTGTCTACACATGAATATGTAACCACTTATGCACTGGAGTAAGGGATATGCTTTATTCAACTTGTATGTATTTTCCAGGCTTCTCATTCAGTGATCCAGTCCTAAGAAACATATGCAAATTGAACAGAAAAGTTGTTATTTAACTGAATGCATTGTGTTTGGGTTTTAAATCGTTCCTGTGGTGTATGGGGGATGTTTCTTTTTCTTTTGCCACTAGGTTTAATTATAATGGCAAGAACACTTATCATATTTCCTTGTGCAGATAATCTTTGAATTGAAGGATTTTTTTGAAGATTCAAATTGCTGTGGATATTTTCAATGGTGATTTGGTATGTTTAATATAAGGTTCTTTAGCTCTTTATTGCCTACTACAATGAATGCTCTCAGGTTGCACCATAACTAAAAGGACAGATTCTGCTTCAGTTCCATTGGTATAAACTTAGAATTCCTCCATTTTTTCAGTGGAGTTCACACAAGTTTTAAAAAAATCACATAAAGTTGAATAACGCTGAAACATATAAACCAGGTTGATTTTTTGTTTGTTTGCACGGCTGTGTTTTTTTCTGCATTGCCCACAATTCCAGACAAAGTGGAGAGAGGGGACCAAGGAATTCAAAGCTGGACCACAGTATTTAAGAGTCCTGTTGAGCCATTTTTGCCCTTCTTCCAGCTATGAAAGTCCAGATCCCAATCCCCCCAAAATTCAGCTCATCCTGGGTTTGGAAGCACTATACTGTACTGTATGCCATAGGTTACATCACATGCATCTGAACAGAGGTCATTAGTGGCAGCACACAGGCATTAGTACAGAGCCTGGAGATTATCTTCAAAGGGGGGAGGAAGGATGATACTGTGGGACTAAGGAGAAGAGGAATTTTGTGACTGACAGTGGAACTCATAAGACTGTAAAGTTGCCCCCAAATTTGGGAGCCCCTGCCCTAGCTCACCACTGATAGCAATCACTTGTGGCTCTGTAACCTACATCTAGTACTAGCCTTCTAGTTTGGGATCCTTTAAATATGAGTGCCTCCTGCAACGCATTGAGAGCCCACTGCTCTTGCTGGCTTCAATGAGAGCTGATACTTGCCATCTCATCATATTGGCCCCAAGGTCAAAGGGCAACTGCATAAGAGCAGGAAAGAAAATACAATAATCAATCAGACATGAACACATCAAGAAGCCATGGTAGGGCCTAACTATACCCCGGGGATCTCCTCCTTTTGTGGAACAGAGCAAGTCGGACAGCTTCACAGCATGAGGCCATCTCATGCTCTTTCCAGAGGCTTACGCACATCATGCAGTTTAAATCCTCCCTGTTCCCTCTGCCTCCACCACATTCAACGTGGAACTCAAAACCATGTGTAGTGGGGTTGGATAATATCACCCCCTCTCTCCCCTTTGTTTTTCCCTCTTTGGCCTTTGTCTAAACTATTTTTCATTGAGGGAAGAGGGCTGACATGGTGCAGGTGGTACTGCTTTTAGGATCCATAGGTTTTCTCTGGATTTAACTTTTCTTGTGACCAGTTCAACCCACCAGCATGAATTGCAGCGACACAAACAGAAAAGCCATAACATATACCCTTGAATAACCTGGGTGTTTCTGCCAACTGAATTTCATACTTCTTTAATTATGCCTTAAACGTACCCTTGCATGCTCTCTTTGTAAAGAACAGTCATTGCTGTTTGAGGCAATTTCCATCTCGAGCCTGTTGTTTAAAAGATCTTGTACTACATTTAGAACATTTTTATGGACTTTTTTCCTGAAAGGTTTGTACTATTCTGTGGACAGTACATTTGTGTGATTCTAGTTAAAATATGTCCTTTGCAAACATGGTTTAATGGCTTGATTTTCAAAGGTGCTGAACACAAGCAACTCTCATGGACAACTGTGGGATTCCTGGGTGTCTGCTCCCTCTGGCACCTGGGCTATGACTGCAATATATCAGAAAAAACTGTGTATTAGTAACTTGTAGCTTTGCTTTCCATGTTCATGAATACTGCAGTATTTCTGTGTTCTTTATCATTTATCTTATGTTATATGGTGCTTTGGGGTAGTAATTTCAATTCAAAGTGATTTTGCTAATACAACGTACACAATCTACTCATTTAAATAAATGGTGAGACTTTCTGTTTGGGAATCATTTTGATCTGGTCATTTCTTTAATCAGCCACAAGGTGGGGATGTCAAGTTCTCTTATACAATTTACACTGTTTCTCAGCAGGGCAAAGTAGCTCACACTGAATTCCTGCGCTGCTGCTGCTGCTAGCTTAAATAA